CATGCGATAGTCTGTTCTATTGGCTGATTGGTGTATTTATTTTTATTGGATAACATATTCACGTATATTTGTGATGTGTGATGGTGGAAAAAAAAAAGAAAAGAGAATAAGAAATTTGATATGCATATACACAGACATTATCACAGTATTGGAAAAATAACAAAATCTCGACAAAAAAAAAAGAACGGCGCATATATACCTGTTTATTGTGTAAGAGAGAAAGTTTCCGTTCTCTTTTTCGGATTTCAAAAAAAAAAAACATAATTTTTTTGCCCTCAACAACGATAGATATATTTTTTTTTTCAATACTACGTAATCAACATATTCTTTCTTTTTTTATTGAGCTCATATAGTAGAAAAATAGAGAGAAAACAACAAAAAAGAAGAACCTGTCGAATTCTTTGCTTCTTTTTCTTTTATCAATCAAATTGTTTTTGACCTTTTTCTAATGGTATTTTCATTGTATTTACACCAGCAGAGATTCTAATACGTATCATATCATATAGGTAAGTGAACACAACATTCACTCACTCACTAGATATATGACACAATATCAGTGATAGTAGAAGAAATTATGTTTTAAGAAAAAATAAAGTTTAATTTGTTTCTGTTTATATTGTTTATTTTGTTTTTTATATTTATGTAAAAAACGTTTTATGCGCATTTGAAAATAAATTAGCGAAAAACAGCAAAAATGATAATGACATTATAGAGAAGAGAGATAATGACATTTATTAAAAATTTATGCAATGAACTTCTCAGCAAGTTTTGGATTTGTTGTATATAATCTAAAGGACACATTCAGATGTGTATATGTGTCGAACAGTTTAATTCAACAACCAAACATATTTAGAGAATATGTCAAGTGATTGAGAAAGACAAAAAAAGGAAAAAACAAATTTGTTTCAACTAGTTTTAGAACTTATGAAAATGTCGTATGATCTCTTCAAAAAAAAAAAAGAAAAAAAAATACAACAGAAACCCTTTTCGTCTTTGAGAAGAAAATAGAAAGGAAACAGACTATACTCGCATCATACTTCTCCAGTTTAGTAATAGGAAAAAAACTAATTTCTATTTATCTTTAACGTTTTACTATATTAGAAATAGTCTCACATTTTTTGCTAAAATTTCATTAAGTTTTGTCTTATAATGCAAATTTTGCATTGTTTTTTAGAAGAAAAAAAAATAAGTTTTTATTTTGGTAGCTGATCTTTGAAAATAAACAAACACATAAAGATAGTTTTAGCCTCCTTTTTGATTGTATTGAACATTATGTACAAAAAGAAAATGTATGACTTCTTATTACATTAAGAGTATCATAATTCTATTTTTTTATCGAATTAAACATTCTAGACTATATAGCAAGAACATACAAGAAACAAAATGAGATTACGATAAATAGATTTCATTTTTTTTCTTGTTGCTTCACTTCTTCTTTTTTTTTTTTCAATTCAATTTTCATGATACCTTGACATTTTATTTATGGGATTCATAATCTTAGAGTAAATAGAACCTTTTTATTTTAATCTACATCAAGCCCACCCGTGAAATAAAATAGGGGTCACCATCAAACTTCACGTAAGAAAAAAATTCATTTGATATAGTCCAAAAACAAGATTTTTATCTGTGTTTCTTTGAACCTTTTCTTTACGATCTCCTACTTACTCTTTGAGTGATTAGAAATTGTCATAAATACAAGAAGAAATCCAATAAAATAAGAAATGATATATAAAAATCTATTTGTCTATCACATTAAGAAAATTGAACGATCATTTTTAATGATGATTAAAAATAATTTGAATTAATATTTTATACATATTTGTTGTTTCACAGTGACTTTATAATAATAAAATTGAATAATAGATATGAATTAGATAAGTACATCGAATAATATTGATCACATATTAAGATATAGATAGTGTAATAGAATATAGTGTAAACGATGAATCTTGTTAACAATTGTTAATATTGATTTTCATGTAGTAAATGCGTAGATTGAACACAATATTAAACGAATTAAACGTATATGATAGTCGAAAATTTAAAAAAGATATTAAATATTCTAATAAATTTTGTTTTTTGATATATCGTATTAGAATAATTTAAAATGTGTAGAAAGTATATACGATATTATCGATTATGGCTTATAAAAGAAATATTATTTTAAAATGAATATAAAAAAAGATATTTTATACAATTAACTTACTAGTTTTGACCATTAAATACGAATGATTTCACTATTCATTTTTCTTCGAAAAATATTTTTGTCTTATAAGAAACTGTACTATAGTGTATAAAAAAAAAAAGAAACAGTTGCTTATATTTCTGTTTAAATATGAGACAACAACCTTTTCTTATGGAAAGTTTAGTGAATATATAGATCTCTACTCATTGAAGAAGATATTTATCTTCACTGTATAACAATTTTTTTTTTTTTCATATTCATAATATATCCACATTTCTATATATGAAATATAACTGTATATACACGTATATGAATAAATGAAAAAAAAGGGAGTTATATCCTAAAAACGTTTATATTATACACATCTTCTTCTCTCTGAGTTGAACTTTTCAAGCGCCAGTCTCTGATATTTAGAAGCGAAAAGTCAATGTATTATCAATGAATATCGCCTCGTGTGATGACAAAGGTCGCGTTATTTCTAAAATGTTAAACATTCTTTTTCATGCCATTTTCGACTTCACTCTTAACAAAGGTTAGTTATGTTTAATTTCTCAATGGACATTAGTACATATCCGTGTACGAATTGAGAGAGAAAAAAGAGAAATATGTACAAATGTTTCTTTTTTTTTTTTTTTTTTGTCGTCTATAGTTTCTACAATCGTTTATCGTTAAAAATAAATAAATTGTTATAGTACAAGAGTAATAAAAAAATTGATAGACAGACGTATCAATCATAATTTAGTTTTTAAGACAGAAGTAACTAATTATTGGAGATGATATCATTTTTCTCATTCCCTTATAAAAGACTACCGACTATTGCTCAATGAAATTTTGAAATAGAAAAGTAAACTTTGTCCTTCTATAGAAGAAGTAAACATAAGACACGTGTCTATATCGGATAAATAAAAGTTGAAATTTGATTAAGTATTTAAAGTGCCGCTACACTTTTAGTAATAGATATGTATGGACCAGTAAAAAAAGGAGTTTATATCTAATTTACTATTCAAAAAATGAACAAATGTACAATAAATTTATTTTACGTTGTAATCCAGTATAAATTTAGGATCATTTTATTTGATATATAATTATATTCGAGTACTCCACCATTTATTTGAACACATACGCATCTCTTTGATCTATACAACTGTAAAATAATTGCAAAAAACAACTAACACTTGTTCAAGATCATCTTGAACAAATTGAAAACATTTTTAGTATATAATAAGCCTCATGATAATTGATACTATCGTTATAGAAATATCACTAAATTGTCCTATCAGTAAATGTCAACATCAATTTGATGTATCTGTCTCTTTTTTTTTTACGATTATCTACTTTGAGTTTACTTTTTCTCTAATGCAAAATTTTTCTGAAAACAAAACAAGTTTTTAGTTATACTATGTCTATGTACATATCTTTCGTTCTCTATCTGTCTAATTCTATGAATATGTTTTAAGATAACATTCAAAGAAAAATTTGTCATCAGTCTATCTTTATGATAAATGACTATTTAAAATAGACGGTATAAACGACTACAATTCACTAATAATCGTTGTTAGTAATAATATTACATGATGTGAGGATGTAGATAACAATAATTCTTTCATTTTGACGCTAAAAAAGTGGTCATCATTAATCACTTATTTGCTTTTTGGTCTTTCATCATACTATAGAATGTGTCTTATCATCATCTTCTATTGACAGACAAACTATCATTTTAATATAATTACAACAAGGAGATAAACGAAAAATATGTGTGCTGATATTGTAAATGAGATATTCTGAATATAAACTATTACCTATGAAATTTAATTAAGAGTTATTTTCTGTAGTATTCTGAAATTTAAAATCTTAAGTTTGTAATAGAAAATCAAAACTGACTGTTTTAATGGCATTATATTAGTCTTAGATATTGTTGTGAGAACAAAAAAATAAATGATGACTATAGATGCTTAGGGATATTGGCTATGTTTACATTTTTATTCATCATAAATATAAAATAAACAGTATTTTCGATGAAATCTCTAGTCATATATTCGTTTCTAATCCTTTGAAGTAGACCGTTACGTGCTCAAAAACATTTTATGTTGTTAAAAAAGAACTATATGGTCTCCTCAGGAAATTTGGTATTCATTGTAGTTAATTTTTGCGTCTGTCTAAACTGTATCTTTGTCGTGTTCTGTACATAGAATTAAAAGAAACGAAAAGAAAATAAGATAGTGAATATCAATAGATAATGAAGATGATTGTAATTGAAACTGTTTAATCAAAGTAACCGCATTGACGTCTTACAAATATACTGATATGTGTATAACATCATTTTCGATTGTTAAAGAATGTGTTCAACTACATATAAGAAGAGAAAAAAAAGCATACCATTTTTTCTTATTGAAAGTTTTCATTATATTACTGATGAGTAAATCTGGAAACAATTCTTTTAATGAACAGTAATATTTTTATAGAGGAAAAACATATGTCGACTTTTATTATATACATCAAACTTAGTAATTATATCCTAATTAATTTCATCATTATTAGAGTTAGTTAGTATATCAAAGATTAACGGAATTTGATAGGTAGTTATTGTAAACAATAATACGATTATTGATTATATAGTACCGAATAATGGCTTCATAAATTAAAGTTGTCCCATGTAGGAACTGAAAACATCTTCTTTCAACTAGGAATAGACATTTAAGTCATCAAATGATACACTAATTAAGAGTACATGCTAGATATTTCGAATAGCCGACGATCATTGGGAAACTAACGTGTCTTTCATTACTGTTATGTGGTTTTTTTTAGTGTTCGGATGATGAACAATGAAAATGTTGGTTATTCACAACAAGTCTATTCAAGTGGTAGTAGTCCATTTGGTGGTGAACTATTTTCTCCATTTCCCACTGAGTTTGTTAGTCAAGAAATATTACCAATTTGCAACAGTGATTATATAGCATTAACAAATTCTCATAATGATTCTTATCATCAAGCAGCATTGGCTGCAGCTGCAGCAGTTTCTCTAACAAATTCGGACAGTTCACCAAATTCTTATAATTCACATACCAGCGGATATTCGTCATCCGATTATTATGGTAATAGTTATGAGAAAAAGACACTATCATCTTCATCCAATTATGAAACAACAGGTGGATCGACGGCATCAACGTCAACTACGAACAGTGAACATCATTTACAACGTCTCTATTCCAGTGTTTGTAATATAAAACAAGAATCACCATTCCCATCCACGCATACTGATCATCATTCACAGCATACCAACAATATTTATACAACATCGAACGGAGGTAAAAAAATTTTCTTGTAGTTTTTCATGGTACTACTTTGACTTGTTTTTTTGAAGGAAACGTTAATTCTGCAACAAATCCAAATTTTGGCATTGTTGATGACTATTCTCTTTATCCATATTCGTCCTATACATCTGGATTATTGCAGCCAAATTATTCAGCATCTCCTTATGGAATCTCACATTCGGAACAGATGAGACATAATTTGTACAGTTCACAACTGAAACATGATTTTGGGTATAGTGAAAAGTGACATTTTTATCATCGTGTTACATATTTTTATTTTTCCTTTCTTTTCTCTTCTTATAGAATCGATATGAGATTTAAACTTGTTGGAAACCAAAGAAATTCGTCTAATAGTGATGTACCACCGAGTCAACTGTAAGTATAAGTTTTTCCTGCACAAAATACTCACTAAGATATTTTATTTCAGATGTGCTGTTTGTGGCGACAATGCAGGTCTGTTCAAATAATGCTAGTTAACTAACTACAAATCTTAGAACTAATAATCTTTTTAGCTTGTCAACATTACGGTGTACGAACATGTGAAGGGTGTAAAGGCTTCTTTAAGGTAATTATAGTTTCTTATTTGTGTCAAAAGAGAGAGGGAGTCTCATGGCACTTAGAATTCTTATACTGTCTGCCTTCATTAGACAAATCTGTGTGTAGAACTGTATGAAAATGATTCTATTCAGTTTCTACGAAAATCGTTATTGAGTGATGTAAATTCTAAAAGTAGAGATTAGTAGTTTTGTTTATATGAATATTACTTCATCCATTTCATATGTAAGCTTCTCGTTTAGAATAAAAGCTCCTTTTTTTCTATCATAGTACACACAAGTGTACTAAAATAATAGAGCATTCGTGCTCAGCCATATATTAGATGACAAAAAAGTCTCTTTTTCACCCGTAATATCTAGTACAATATTCATGTATCATTTTTTCACCCTAAATCGTCATGTAAATAAAAAAAGTGTATGTATATTCTTCCTTTTTATTTATATTCATTACAGTAGTAAAGAACAAAAAAGAGACCTAATTTTTTTAACTAAGTTAAGCCGATCAGATCTAATAAATTTTAATAATGATAAGGTGAAGATATTGATTATATATGTGAACTAATCATACGATAAATCCAAAAGAATTATGAATAGGTTATTAACAATGAGTAGTTGCGTAAGTAAAAGAATTTAGAGTTATGAACAAATTTTGCTCAGCACGTATGTTTATCTTTAACAGAGTTTTGCATAAATCAACAATGTTCATTATCAATCGATTAAGAGCTCTCTAAAAATAGCATCAAGTTGTTCATTCTGTGTCTCTACTAGTATTAACTATTTTAAATTAAAAATTCAGTTGCTTATATTTTAATATTTTTTTACTTAATCATTTTTTCTCAATACTAAATCGAACGGTATCTGGAAAGAAAGATCTGTAGCTTTTGTGAGTTAATCTGTTGTCTTAATTGAATATTTCTACTTTCTTGTAGCGAACTGTACAAAAAAATGCAAAATATGTATGTCTTGCCGATAAAAATTGTCCGGTTGATAAACGTCGACGTAATAGATGCCAATACTGTCGTTATCAAACGTGTATAGCCGTTGGAATGGATAAAGAAGGTAAATAAAACATGATATATTTTATGCCTGAAAGTTATTGGGTATCTCTTTTTTAGTTGTTCGAACAGACGCTTTGAAAGGTCGTCGAGGTCGACTGCCATCAAAACCAAAAAGTCCCAATCATCGTTTACAACCAAATAGTTTTCAAACACAATTTTGTCGTTTTTATAATGATTCCACGCCAAATGCAACCGGTTTGGACTTTAGTAAATTGAACGTAAGAAAGAATTTTTAATTTTTAATTTGTAAAAGTAAATGATAATAGGATGTTTTTCATTTTAGTATCGAACAGTGACAAATAAAGAAAATATTTGCGAAGAAAAAACGATTGTTTATGACGGTTTAACGAGATCATGTGAAATTATAAAAACATGGACCGATAAATTATGTTTGTTTTACTCCATAAATCCAAGTGAACGTGATAGATTATATTCAAATGCATTATTGGAACTAATTGTATTGAGAACAGCCACTCGAATACAAGATAACGATCGAATTATACTCTGTTCCGGTGTTGTATTCCATAAATCACAATTAAATTGTTTACTGAGTGATGTTGCCCACCAATTATATGAATTTAGTTCATCGTTAAAAAATTACAAATTAGATAGCATTATCAATGCATCATTAGCAACAGCACTTCTATTGGACCCGAATAATCATGGTAAATAAAAATATTACTGAAAAAAAGAGGAATAAAAGTTGTCTTTCTTTTTTTTGCAGATTATCTGTATGATACCCCATTATCAACATCAATTACGGATTTACATCAGAAAGTACTTGACTCATTCAAGGAATATTTGAAACAATTACACGAAGATCCATTAGTTTATACGCATTTATTAGATAAACTGAACAATGTCAAGAGAATAGCGCATAATTTAAGAAAACGTTTACTGTTATACAAACAAAGTGCAGGATTAATCCATAACGTTCACACTCTACTAGACATGGTGTAAGTAAAGTTAATTGATAAATATACTTTTTATTCACACTTTGCCCAATGTTCTATGAGGATATTAGCAGACGTATAATTTTGTTTTAAATATGAAACTATCTATTTGGTGTGAATGTACAGAATTTATCTTTTTAGACTTCATCAAAAACCCATTACCAACAGTATACAAGATTGGCAAAAAAATGATCAACCATCCCAACAACAACAGCAACCACGTGTTGAAACTTCCACATTACCATTTTGTCATCAATATGATTTATAAAACTATAATCTTTTTTCCATATATATTTCATATTTTTGATATTAAGTATTATTTGATGTTCATGTATGTCGGCAGTCAAAGCAATTCTAATGTGGATGTTAAATGTTGTTATTAAAAAAGTATTGATATTCTCATCTGAGAGAGTGAAGAGAAAAGTTATGGATACATTTTCTTTGTATTTAATTTTCAAACAATGATTCAATTCAGATTTTGACGATGTTCTAAATCGATCTCATTGCAGTATTTTTTTATTCAAAAATATAGTTTGTTCGTCTATTTCTTGTAACTAAAACGGTCCCCACCACGTTCTTCTGTTTATCGTTGCGTCTTCCTATTTTTTCCAAGGTTTCCAAAGATGTTTCCAGATTCTTAATTTCTAATATTAATTGTTGTTTTAAAAATTAGATGACGAAATTTCTATACATGTGTTGTTTTTTTCATTTTTCATCTGTTTTCTATTGTTCATAAAAAATTTTTTATTTATAGCAAACGCTTTCCTAAATAAAAATTCTTGAGATTGGAGTACAGTTGTTTTTAGATGCATTATCGTTGACACTATTTAATAATCAGCTTGTGGGATTCAGCAAAATATTATTTATTTTTTTATCATTATTGAAAGAAATGGCTATAGATATTTATGTTAATTGTCCTTTATTTCGTACACATATGTCTTAATAAGTAAGAAAGAATTACTACTATTTCATATTCTTTTGTTATACATGATAGCTTGGATACTGGCACATATTGTTGTTATTAAAGTTGGAAAATTATTCAAGGATCAGTCTAGTAAATGACCTAAATGACAATAAAACGTTCCAATGACGATAATAAGTGTATCTCATAGTCGCAGTATAATCTGTTTTGTTTAAATCATATCAATACCCGACATCTGCTACATGCAGCGCAGTTCTAATCATTAAGTTAAAAAAGTTTGAACTTTTCTCTTCATATTTTATTATATTAATGAAGTAATACAATTAACTAAACGTTTCGATATGTTAACATATCATCCTCAGTAGTTAAGAAACGAAATATTTTATAGATCCACAATCTAAAGTTAGAGTTCTAATCATTGAGGAGATTCAGTTGACAAAACAGATCAGTATTTTGTAAAACATTTTGATGTGCGATACATTTTTAGTGATTCTCTTGTTCGAACCTCTTACAATTTACCGAAATAACAAACTGATTTTTCGTCAAAATTAATCAAACTCACGGTGAAATCTCTTGAGGTGTAGATTCCTTTTTCACCTGAATATATTCATTTCTCAAGCTCTGAGGAATAATGAAAAGATGGATCTGGCTTTGCTTTTGTCGGCGTCTGGAAGTGAGATGTTGAATCTATGAGGTTGCAGCAATTCGATAGGTTCAGCTAAATGTCATTATTGAATTTCGGCTTGACACTTTGAACGTATATAGCTCTTTCTACCTCTACTTTAGACAAAGCTTGAGAATGTTTGAACCCTCTTACGTCGAGATATGATACTACATTTTCTACTGTGCTGTGCTGAAGTGTCGCTTTTTTGAAAGTGAAAATGTCGCGAAGAACAGTACAAAAATGCTGAAATATTTATCTAAGTTAAAGATATGCATAGTATTTTTGAGCAGAATTTCGAATCACAGCTATTGAATGGAAACTACCACACAGTTGAAAACTCGTGTGAGTCCAATATTTCACTTCCAGAAACTCAGAGAAACAGATCGAAATAGATTTTTTATCACTCACCTTTTTTATCACTCACTCAGCTTCATCATTCACCAAGGGCTCACAAGTACGGCTGTAGTATATGTGAGAAAGTGCTTCCGTCTCAAATACTGGTTGAAATGATTCACTGAAAAAATATTAATTTAGATACTAAAAAAATATACTCTTCAAATAATTGATACCTCACAAGTTCTAATTGAAGTTCATCATTGACGAGGAAATGTGTTTTCGATGTGTGCATAAATCAACTGTCAGTGTGATAGACGACTGTGAAAGCATGTCTATAAAACGATAGGAAGATTTTAGGCAAAGATTATATTGTCATAGATGAACTGTAATTAAGAATCAGCATTTGAATTTCTATTTTAGTTTGAAGCTGAGGGAAGCTGTTCGATCAATTTTTGTCTTCTATAAATTAAAATATTTGGACTTGAGGTTGTGTTTCGTTGAAACTAAATAGCTAGATAATTTTTAAAACATAATAATTTTTTGATATTTGAAGATTTTCATGTTTCTATTAGCGTTTGGTTGATGTCAAAGCCCACCATTTTGTATAAAACTCTTTTCTCTATCGAATTATATACAACTCAAAATATTTTTACATTGTATCATTGCACATTGGAAAAACAACGACGCAAGTCTTGAAATTTTTTTTTGTATTCAGTATTTTGTAAGGAAAACTTCTCATCATGTTGTTGAATGTGATCTGGATCAGAATGAGTACAACGATCGATCTCTGCATTGGATCGCATCATTAAGCTAATAAAATTTGCATTGCTGGTCTTTTACCTATGGAAAAAAATTGTGTTCTTATTGATTGAAGAATACGTACAACCTCAAGTTAAAACCTCACGTATTAGCGGACTTTCTCGTCTGCTGTATTTGACATTCATCTGGTCATAGAGAATTATGTCAATAACTAGCGCCACCGTACGTTTGTCATTCGTACAGAGGAAACGTGCAACTTCTGTTCAATGGCGATTTTGTGTATGTTTTTATTTCTTATCTTATCTCGACCCTTATCTCAACCTAGACGCGGTGGAGAGAAGAAAATCGAAAATGGATGACATTTTGGCAAAGACTATCTTTGTCCTGTGACAGAGAAAAACGACCTGTTGTTTTTACTTAAGCACACTGTCCTATTAATATATTAAAAGCAACTAGACTAAAGGTTAACCAACTAGATTGTAATTGTGATAAATAGTCGCAACCTTGAGAAATTATAAAGAACAGAAGCATTCAAAAGTTTCAATTATCGTTTTTTCTAATGGATGAGCATCGTAAGTGTTCGACAGCAAACCTTTTTCTCAGTGTCTTTATAACTATGATTATACGATACCAATTTTCTTCTCTATCCATATCATTCCTTTCTGGCCTAAACAACAATAAGCTCTGCCTTATCATAATGATAACTCTGTAATAATAGATATAAATATGACATCTTGGCTCGTTCCCCCATCATCACCAACAGGCAATAGTCGTCGAATTGAGCTTGCTGGCATTGATCTGTGGATCTTCGCACGCACCGACAAAGTATTCGTCTATCCATCCGAGTTAGATATTGATCGACTCAAAGATGCACTGAGTCGTACTCTCTCCGTGTGGCCTCTTGTTGCCGGTCGGTTCCTCTTGCTCGATGGTGGCCACTACTCCATCGAAATGTCGGATAATCCAATTCCGATTACCTACGCTGAAAATACTGACCTAGCTACTTGGCCTGCTAACTTGAACATTGTTGCAGAACTGCATCATAATCCACTTGTACCATTTATCGACGAAGTACAAATTATAACACTACTTCATGGTTCTCAGGACGAGCCTCTCTTTCGTTTGAAACTGACTCGTCTTGTGCAAAGTGGCGAATGAGTCTTGGGAGTAAGTTGGGCGCATGTGTTGAGTGATGCTGCCGCCTTATTAAACTTTTTAAATACCATCTCACGTTTTTACCAACACTTGGAACCACTGGAAACATTGCCTGTGTTCGAACGACGTCTATTGCGAGAGGACGAAGCAGATCAATCTCTTCTACCTATTATGAAGCATCTGAGTAATGCTGGACCATTGCAAGAAATGTTTAAACTTTTTAGCAGTTGGAAAGATACGTACGAGCAACTGAATTTGCGCTTCTCATGCGAACAACTAGCCAAACCACGTGAATTAGCCGGTGGAAACAATCTAACCATTCAAGATTCGCTTTCTGCCTACATCATTCTTACGCTGAACACTCATTGTTATCTAAATGATGATCAGCGCCGTATTTTACGCACAAACACACCTGTCAATTTTCGCGGTGTCTCTCACTCGATAGCTCCAGCTGGGCACGTTTCCAATGCTGTATTTATGATGCTGTCCGATGATTTTGATGATCCATTATCTCTGTCGAGCATTGTCAGGACAATTCGTCGCTCAATTATTCGATCACGTGATCCAAAATTTCTGGAGCCCTGGCTGACCCCAGCTGATGGATTATTGAGAAAAATCGCGCGTGAAAATCTACTGGCCAACTGGGGACAGTTTCCGAACGAAGTGATAGTTAATTCTAATTTAAGGTACGATTGGGCGGGTCTCGTAGATTTGGGCTACACGGACAAATGTCGCTTCTATACAGTATGGACGGATCCATTGTATTTCCGTGTGTTTCATCTAAATCCAGTGCAAGACGGCACCGAATGGCTCCCACGAGATCGGAACGGAGCTGAAGTTGCTTTTCTACTTGAAAATGACATGAAAGAAAGATTTGTAAGCGCATGGCAGAAAGGTGTTGCCGCGAATTTTACAAAAGTAAAACAATGAGAAGTAGAAATCATTTTTCAAATATTTCAATGTCGAGTAACACGGGAAAGCGGAATTGATTGCAATTCTTGGTGTTGTCCGATGACAAACATGGACACAAATGTGTATCTCGATTGATAATGAATAAATGTCTAATATAAACGGAGCCGGAGCCGGATAGAAAACGTTGAGTCAGGAGCTGGAGTCGGTGGCTGTTGGTCGGCTCCGAATTCTTTTTTGTTCTGTTTATATTTGATGATGATATGCGTGTTCAATCGAGGTAAGTATGACACTCTTACCACAGCTACTTTCGTTTGCTATTCCTTTCTTTTCATTTCTATCATTGCTTTGTATTTGTTATTACCTGAGAGCCTTGAAAATTCAATCGAAAGAAAAAGCAAAGTAAGAGGTCCGTATCTACGTCGTTTGTGTGTTTCGACTTCTGCCTGTTGTTGGATTACAGAAACTGTAATTTTTTGTCCCACTACAATCTCAGACAGAAGTCTCAACTCAAGAAACTTTTGAAAAATCAAGACTTTGTTTTGTTTCCGTGCACGAATCGTTTATTATTGGAAGTGATCTGCAAAGATCAAATGTGTCCAAAATTGTTAAGAATCAAAAATATGATCTCAGCGGTTTAGTTTTGAAAACGATGGTTGTATTCTTGGACATTGTATATTTCCGATTGTCAAAGAGTGTGCGGTCGGAAAGGAGGGGAAAACCCTTATAAATCAATATTGATTCTACAGCAACTTGTTGAAATGATCATACATGTTTTCAGAACATTCTTCAAAACAAACTTAAAAAATCTGTCACTTTATGAATTTCACGGTCTTTATTCTCGTTCGGAAAGCGCTCATATCTTGTCTGGTGTTTGTTAAAAAACAAGTTTCATTCTGAGTCGCAAATGTCTCACTTCGGTCTAATTTCTATTGAGCTAGTCCGATTCTGGGTAAAGCGTTACTGAATGTGGTTCATTCACTTATTTGTGCATTTCGAAAGTGTTCGAAAACTACATGATTCAACTTTTGGATTTGTTTGATATCCAAACAAAGTCGTCTTTCGTCCAAGGTTCGACGAAACTTTAGGGATTGACGCTATTGTTTCGTGGATAAAGACTATCAAATTTTGCAAGCTACCGAAAGTCCGTCATCAGGATTTTCGAAACGAATCAACGATAACGGTAGATCAATGTCGATAACAAGTTGAGAATTGGTTGAGGTGAGGGTGTTTGACAATTAATAATAAATCGAAGAGAATCAAAGCGGAAAGAAAACAAAAAGCTTACCAGATTTTTGGAAAATTGTTTTTTTGTGTACTAAAAGAAGCATGAGTGGTGAAATAAAGCGCAAGGGATAGAACAAGAACGTTGCTTGGATAAACAGATTCAATTAGAACATCCAGAAAGTCATAATTGTCTGCGTATCTTATACAGCATATTATTTACATTGACATAACTGTTGATTCATTATCGTGTTACACAGAAAAGCTATGCTAAGCACAGGAGGAGAGGCTCCCGTCGAACTTATCCATTGATCTTTTATTGCTTTTGTGCATTCGATGTTATTTTATGCTGCTTTTCCAAGGGGGAAAAAGCATACTTCTGTACTTCTCGGTACTTCTCCGTACTTCTTGATACTTCTTCGTACTCTTTTGTACTTCTCCGTACTTTTGAGGTACGAAGTACGAAATACGCTTTTCTCCTTTTCGTACTTCGTACTTCGTACTTCAGAAGCACGGAAAAGTACAAAAAAGTACGAAGAAGTATCAAGAAGTACCGAGAAGTACAGAAGTATGCTTTTTTCCCCTTGTGTTTTTCGCTAATAACAGCCCATAGAACAAAAAAACCATGATAGACAGAACTTAAAAGATTTCCACCTACCAGCTTTTGCACCGAACGTGTCATAAGCCTAAGGTTGGTGGGATGATAGTAAAAGACTAAAGTTAACGAACACAGCTCAAACTGCTACTCTTTATGTTTAAGATCATTTCTAGAATTATATATTAGTGAGATGCTAAAGTGTTTGACAGCAACAATTTTAAAACATTTTCTGCACTGTTATGGAAAATTTAATTTTTTTGTCTAAACTTAAAAAATTTGTCTGCGCGATACAAACGGGCACCTCTGTTAGATCCATGTGGACAATTTAATTTTCTAGACTTTTAACTATTATTAATAGAGTTGCGTTTTAAAGCAACTTAGTTTCATGACGAAGCAAAAACACCAATGACAACGTACAATCATTATGACTTTTTTAACCACTGAAGTGTACTTTCAAGATAAATGTATTAAGATGTATTAAGATATGTGTATCATCATTATTATATGTACCTGCTTAGTAGTAGTAAAGATCTGACGGAAATTCGAAATTGTAGAGAGAGAGAGAGGGAGAGAGAGTGTGTGTGAAAACTTGAATAGAGAAAAAACAAGTAAGCAGAACTTCTATACGCGTACACTGTAATTTGGAATTATTTTCTATTTTATAGAAAATCGCCAAGGATTTTCCAACTTTTATAAAATCCTCAGCGATTTTCTGACTGTTTAGAAAACGTTGATTTTCTACTTTATAGAAAATCCGCTCCATTTTCTATAAATTGACTTTTCTCATTTGCCAGAAAATCGATAAAGAATTTCTAAAAAGTTGGAAAATCGACAGCATTAGAAAATTGATCGATTTTCTATAAATAAATCCCAGTATTCTTGAAATTCGATAGCGATTTTCTAAAAAGACCACTCATTGATTTTTTTCTTGCTTCTTTCACATCTATCTATTTAATTTTATTTATTGTAACAAGTTGTCGTGTAACAGATCTCTGCTCGTTTTAGTATTTAACATCGGAAATGTTAGTAGCGTCGAAAAGTTCTCTCAGTTTTTGCAAATCAGCATATTCTTCGAGAAGTATTGTTGCTGCATGACACTTGGAGATCACAAAGTGGTACTGAAAAGGTTCTTTGGTTTGCCTGATTAAGACACGATCGAGTTCCATCGCAACTTTTTGAAGATCACAAAGCGATTTGCTCTTGCTAATATTCCTCATTTTTATGTCTGAATTTAGCATCTTCCAAAAATGTACTTGGTTATATTAATTCAAAGACATGATCCTAACAATTCACATTTATTTTCTTTATTTTTTAAATAAAATAACAGTCGCTCAACACGTGAGCGATGGCGAATTTGGTTTTCATTAGTAAAAGATCTATATTGTCATCCAATAAGCTTAAATAATACACCCACTCAACTTCGAAGTTCAATAGCTTTTAATAATGGTGAAAAAATTCAGCCATTTTCACGCAAGTCTCTGATTATCAGCATTTTCATTCAAATTGTTCTTCCTCATCATCTAGAAAATCGCTGAGGATTTTCCAGACGGAAATTCGCCGAGGATTTTCTATAAATAATTCTCGGCAATTGGAAATTGGATTTTCTATAAGCTGGAAAATCCGTGAAGATTTTATATATGGACTTTTTGAAAATCGCCGAGCATTTTCTATAAATAATTCTCAACTTTACAGTGTATCAAACACGATATCAGCAATTTTTTCAGTGGCGCCAATAATGGAGTTAGCATTTTGTTGAACAACACTGACTACTCTCTAAAAAAAGGTATATTACCGCCCATCATCCCTTTAACTGCTAGAAAAATAAATGGAATGACTATTGCCACGCCCAGGAGTGTCAATCAGAAGCTATTGTCAATATTTTGGACTCAGCACACTTCCTAACCGAAATATTTTTCTGATAAGTATGAAATAGATTTGTGTATATGGTTAGATAGAATGGCTTAGATAGTGTCTCTTTCCAGAGACTATGTTAAAAATAATATATGTGAGATTTTTGAAAAAGTTTCCAAAATGCTTGAGAAACCGGATTTTATAGAGTACTTGGAGAGCGATATACTCTAATTTTACCACTCGGCGATCTTCACTAAAAAAATTTTCATCAGAAAGATGCTTCTCCGACTTTGATATCGTATTCCAATCAAAAGTCATGAGTATTTTTCTGAGAGAGTCCAAAACTCACTTTTCTTTTGTTCTTTCTAAATCGATTTTTGCCATACGTCTTATTTCTTCAAATTCACTTGATAATAGGTTATAAACAAATTTCTAAGTCTAGAGATTTGACGATGTCTGTGGAAGTAATCTGTGGTGCAGTGTGTGATCATTTCACAACACATATTTTGTTTCTTATTTTCGGTTTACCATTCAGAGTATTCAAAGGAAATTAAAATAAAGTTTAGAGTCGTTATTTTTCTCAACGACTTCGAAATTACTTCTTTGTTATGGATTTGTCGAACTCGTTTCATTATTATTTATACCAGCATTTGACAATACTTTTGAATACTTGTGCCGTCGATGATGCTTTTTTGACATGTAAATGGGATAAAATCTAATTGCTCATTCAACTGGTTCATTCCAATGTGTTTGACTACAAATAGCGACCTTTTCATTCGTCAGATAATAATACATATATATCACGCAGGAACCATCGATGATCAGCATTCTGATGTTCAGTTTTGCAGAGATTCAATGTGTATATTTTTCCTGATCGTGCATAGAAGTTGTTGAAGAAAATGATGACATTATCACTGACGTTGTATATCACTTCTGAAAATTTGATTATATGCTAAAAACGAGTTTATGTTATGGTTATTTCGACGAGAACTTTGATTGCTAGTTGTATATAAAAAAATGGAGTTAACAGAAATGTGAATACATGAGAGACATATATGTCCTTTAATTTATCTAGAAGTGAATAATTCAAATATATGAATGAAAAATCGTAAAGATTGTTTATTAGTATATGAAAGAGAGCAACACTGATTTCGAAATACAAATCATATCCATCAGTTGAGCAGCGGCGTCTATCCCTATCTAAGCAGTTGAGGCCTTTTGTATCACCTCATGTAGAATTTCTGTGAAATGAATTCATGATGCATTCAAATATCCTCTAGAATTAATGAATCTAGTGGCATGTTGATATATTTATTTTTCTTTATGCAACCTCAAATCATGTGATCAGATTGCCTATTTCGACACCCTTTCAACGTTCTTTGTTTTGTTCAAAAACTGCTTTTTTGCACAATAAACTGGCTTTTGTCAGTGTAAGTATTCTTAAATTAAATCAATCAATAACGCCTTCTCTTAGCATTTTTTACTCGGCAGTGTATGATATTTAGAGTTGATATCTCAACATACATGACGCTTGAACGACAAAAAGTAACATATACAATTATCAATTTCTTCTACGACATACAAAATAACACACACTTTTTCGATTCCTAAGAATAATACAACATTCAAGCATTTTACATACAAGCAAGTGTATACATGTTCTCAACTGGTAATTATTATCGATGATATTTGAAAAAATGTTACCACAACAGTTTTAAATTACAATAAAAGAAAAGATAACGACAACAAATCATACATCTTTTTCATCATATGTAAGAATAACAACAACTCCATAGTATGAAGAGACCACCAGTATAAACAACGTCAGTTCGAGGTATGTACCATTGCCGTCGTTAACAGTTTCTCAATTGTTTTATTTAATTAGAAATGTTCGATTGTTTTCACTCGAATCATCTCTGTTTGATGTAGAAAACATTTTTGTCGTAAAAAGTTTCTACCTTCGAACATAAAAGTGAGATATACCATTGCCATTTAAAACGCATATAACGCCCTTTCATTTTAAAACAAAATCGTCGAATTTTGATAATAATTTAAACACAATAGTTTTCTAACACCAACATAGACGAAAATAATAATATTACGATTGGTGAAATATAAGATGGTAAAAGAGCGACATATTGAAAAGATTATAAATGATGCGAAAAAGAGAAAAAAAAGCAATCGGATGCCAATCTAACATTATTGTCCTTTAAATTGCTTGAAGACAAACCAATCAGCACATGCTCATGTATACATCACGCCAATAGATGATTTTTGTCATCATTCTTCTTCTTTTCTTCTTCTATACTTTTGTTCTTTTCACTATGTAGTAAAACAATGTATGACCATCATCTCTAGATTTCTACAGTTATTTGATATATGTACAAACAAAGATGAAAAAATAAAAATTGGTGCATAATATCATCTTCATCATATATTTTTCATTTTCTAATGCCACAAGCTTCCAGTTGTAACTAATCAAGCCACTTTCATGCTGATCAGTATCTAGTTGTGATTCTCATATACATACGCTTCGATTTTTATATATCAAAACATCTCGATTCCGATTCATTATTCTTCTCCTTTCATTGTAGTAATAGTACATCGACTAATTGACGTATTGCACTACTAATCAAGTAAGAATATAAGTGAAAAAATCACGTGTATATACTTCATAATTAACTTACCTTCTGAACACAGAAAAGAATCCTTAGTAAGGAAATGAGGTTTTAGATTCCTAAATCATGATGTTTTTGCCATAAATTTACGAGATTGAGTCGTTAAAATTTATTTCTTCTAAATGACTATCAATATATATCTGAAAGTGTAACTTTTTATTTTTAAAGTATAGAAGCAGGTGTGTCTATGAATGATTTGAACATTTGCTCTTATTGTTAAAAATAAAAGAAATAGAAAGAAGAAAGAAGAATCATGCATGTCAAAGTTTAATAACGATACAACTTTTTGCTTTTATGCACGTATAGAGCGAATATAATTAGACTGATATTTCGCCAACCATAGGGATCGATTAGTGTCATTTCTATAACTTCATCAAGAGTTTATTTCAAAATAATTGCTTAGAGCTTCAATGGACTTCATAATCCAAGTTAGTCGACACCACTTGGATGACTATCTGCTTCTGTAAAGATCAGCAGCATACACTTATCTTATTTCAGGACTATGACAGATGATGCTAATGAAGACAACACCACCGTCCATAAAGGAAGATCTTCGATCGATTCAGTGTCAGAAGGAGATGATACGTCTAGTATAACAATAGAAAGGCCCATAAATCGCAAATTATTACGTACACCAAAATGCGCACGATGTCGTAATCATGGTGTAGTCTCTTGCTTAAAGGTGAGAAATGTGAGACTAAATCTATTTTTAGAACACGATCTATCGTTGTTGATTCCATTTAGGGTCATAAGAAATATTGCCGTTGGAGGGATTGTACATGTGCAAGTTGTCTACTTGTAGTCGAACGACAACGAATTATGGCAGCTCAAGTGGCGTTAAGACGGTAGGTAGCTGTGCCAGTTTTTTTAACAGATAACATAGCAACAAAGACTTATTTACTATAGACAACAAGCAACGAATCACAGTAAGACAACGAACAGTAATACTAAATGTAAAGCATCGGCAATATTATTAGAACAAAAGCGTTTAGCTGTACAACGAAATCTCCGTCAACTTCAGGAAAGTTCAATCACTCGTGATGTGATCAAAAGTGAGTATTGTTATTCTTTATTATATTCATATTAGACTAATGCTCTACTCTTAGATTTAAAAGCGAGATTGCCACATGGAAATGACAATAATCGATTTAGTCAACCTATATTAAATGATCGATTACGAAAACGACGTTGTTTTGCTGATAAAGAGTTAGAAGCACTTACAATAAAACCTCTTGAACATTATCCTCTAATTTACGGATCTTCTAATGTAACGCCGATAGGTACCACATACATCGACAGATTATTAATTCAAAACTCAAAATTTCCAAATTTATTTTCACCAAACAGTGTATCCCTTGATAAAATTTCGTCTGATTTTCCGGTGATTAGTGCATTTCGAATGACAAAATCTCAAACACCTACATTACATTTACTCGATAATATGATTGTTATAAACTCAAACTGTAAATTTGCTACACCATCATCACTACATGTTCATTCATTAACAACAACAACAGCGGAAAATGTTGATGAAAACGAAAATGGACCAACAAACAATCAAAAGAAACTAACAGATTTTTCGGTATCAGCTATCATTGGCGGTAAAGAGGAAAAGAGTTGGCACATGATCTAAGGCAGTTATGTTTTAACCCAGTTCATATTTTTATAAGTATCACCACTACTCTCTCTCTAGTCAGTTTTTAAATACGTTCATTCATTAATTTATTGACGATATGCTTAATGTACTGTATTTAGAATTATTTTTTTGATCAGCTTCGTTGCAACTCACATACATTAAGTCCTTATTTTAACTTTCATTTGAATCAAATATTCATCGGACATCTTTTCATTCATACATCAAGTTTTGCTGTATATAATTGGGCTTTTGATTTTTTCTTTCGGAAGTTTATTTGAGAGATGAAGAATACGCGTTAAATATTCACAAAAGTATCAGTAATATTGCACCAGTATATCTGATATCGGCTCTAATTATAACTATATAGATTTTTTAGCTAGAGATAAATATTATTCTTTTTAACTCATGTGAAACTTAGCTTTTGAAAGGCTATAGGCAAGAGTATTTTATTTGGTCATTTATGCACAGTACTATGTGATTGTCGATTTTCTCCTTTCTGAAGTAATCGTAATTGCCTTTTCCCCCTGTTGAAATTACATTTTCTAAACCAAGGAGCTAGGGAGCAAGGAACTTCGATTAATTACCTCTGATTTTTTTCCATCATCTAAAAAATTTGATTTTAACTGCAAAAATACCGAGCGTGGATGCATAGACCTTTTTTGTAATCTGATCTAAAAATATGTAATACAATACACATTCATTTAGTGTCAGATGCCGAGATGTTAGATGAGTAAAACTTGTTAGAATTATTTTATCTGAAGCAACAAAATTGCAAACTTCTACAAAGAAAGTTAAAAATGGCAAAAAATGTTAGCTCATCCACATGATCTCTACCTATTGCGTTGAAGCAGCTAATTTAATCGGTTCGAATAGGTCGGTGGCTGGATTCATTGTTGTGTAATAAGGTAAATCATCTATCCCCACTCCAAAAATACCAATTCTTCCATCTCGTAGACGAAATGTACCATTAAACGATACAAGACCAACGTCTGCCTGTAGTAACAACCATGGAGTCCATGTATCTTGATGTGCACAATCACTATTACTACTAACATACACTTCGTTACTTGAATCGATTGCCAATACATGACAGCTAAGCAAACAGTATTAGAGAGACTAAACAAATAATCATGGATCTCTACTGTTAGATCTAGTTGGTTCACAAATAAACAGCGACAACAAAAAAAATGCATTCATTACGTTTTATCTCTAACAACCACCGCACGAAAAGCGTAATCTAAGTTGCTCAGTCGATACTTTAATTTGCGATTCAATATTTCAGGGTAGGTATGGACAACGTATCAGTGGATATACTACTTTGTTCGGCTATTTGCAGCGGCTCCCGAGAGTTCTTCTGATATCTGACGCGTTTACTAGAAAGACTATAGTCTACTACCTTTGAGTTGCACTTAAATCTAACGGTGGTTCAGATGCAATGAATAACGGTCGTTGAATAAATATCGTTTCGCTTTGCATACTTTTCCATTCTGTCCATTTTGAATTACTTTGTTCTATTCGATAAATTTGCTCCTCGTTGAATATTGCAAAACAGTACAATTTTATAAGTGCCACATGTCCAACCCAACCGCAAGATGGACCTGTTTTTAGATTATTGTCTAAATTAACATTCAATTGTACATCTTCGGTTACGGTTGTTCCTAAAGAAATAACAAGGATTATTGATGATAAGACTAATTTACACAGCAAAACTACACCTCACCATTCATTACTACAACAGTCAAACGATGGTCAATATTCCGATAGAAACAATATGATGTTTTTGTTACAGCAACAAAGCAACTTCTGTCACCGTATGTCTCACCACCGCGCTCATGAACTCTAATTGTATCATTAACCTTCGGATCCATTGTGATAGAAATTAGATTTGAATCACTTCCTTCCACATAGCACACGATGGTACCATCGGGCTGTGTCAAAACATTTGGTAAACCAATTACGGGCTCCGAAATATTGTTAAATGTTCGAATTCCATCTATGCCAATTGTTGTGATTAGTAGCTGATTTGTATCAGATTGTATACCGAAACAATACCGTTTATTATTAGTTGAGGCACACTCTATTCTTTCGACCTCTTTGAATGTTGGTGAATCGACGAGAAAGTAATCAAACTTAATGTCATCCCCCTGAACTTGTCTAATATTAACGGCATGATAATCGCCTTCAAGGTCACTTACAAGACAAACAGTAATATAAGGCTCATCGGTGCAATCAACAAAAGCTTGAACTTTGAGTTCACCTATAAAAAGAAGCGCAACATCGTACTGTATATTCACGTACTACACTAACTACTATAAAGAATCGTTATTCTCACCACAATTAGAAATTTTAGCCCAAAAATATGTTCCCATACAAGTGCAAATCCTTGATGTGGCTTCTGGTACTAGTTCACATGTTATACCTTGATCTAATCTGCATTCTCCGTCATACTTACAAGCTAGAATCGAGAACACACTAACGATATATTTTCATCGCACTTATCCTAAATGATCAATATACCTACGTTCATTTTTCTCGTGTTTGGGCTCTATAAAGAAAAACAAAGTAAAAATATTGTAAAATAAGAACAAACGAAAAATCTCACCACACTCTTGAGTATCCTCATTCCAAAAATATGTTGTTTCACAATAACAGTGCTTTTGCACTGGATCAAATTCTAATTCACAAAAAAGATGCTTTGCTAACTGGCATTCTTCATGTTCGGTACAATTTTCCCCATAGAGTAAATCCTTTTGTAATGGTGTTTGAGTGGTTAATGGTGCACCCGTAGTTGCTGTAGTTGTAATTGTAGAAGCGATTGTAACCGAAACATTGGCAGTTGTGGTTGTAGAGGAAACAATTAAAGAAATGGTAGATATATAATTTGACGAACTTATGGTTTGCGATGAATTTTCAGCGTCTGTGGATGTGATATGGGTGGTTGCATTTATCCATAAACAATCGTAAATCGGACACTGATCCACAATGGTGTACTCGATACTGCTCGCTAACAGCAACGACAGTAGCAGTATCGCTGTTACGATCGCAAGAGCTAGCAAAGACAGCGGTAAACAATACTTGCGATAAAATGAGTCCTTGGCAAAAAAAACAGTGATGCTATAAAAATTGCTTCCATATTAGTATCTCTCATAGTTACCTTCGTAGAATAAACCTCAAAAGCATCTTCCTCAATTCCATTCAATGATTGTACATTGTCAAGATGCGGTTCTCCTTGCTGAATCAAGTAAACAGGAAACCTAAGCCTATTTTGAGCTGAATGGACAATAACATGTAAATGTCGAAGATAGGAGATGCTAGAAAGTTACAAATAACATCGTTTCGACTTTTTCGTAAATATAAATGCTTACGTTCTTATTCTCAGCATTAATTAGATGATAATCAAGTGATAGAAAATTCCACAAAGCGTCTTCCCGACTGTCATGTACATTATTGTTTTGGAGCAATACAAAGACTAATGATAGTTTTATCAGACAAAAAAGTACGTTCACCTCGATAAAGTTATACAGCGGATCATTTGTTTTTGTTTAACAATAAAATTTGCATAAATTATAGAAAAGATATTACATACACTATATTCGTAATATTCTCAGATTCGTTTTTATTTTTGAAATAATACAATGATATGACGATAATCAGTCAAGATTTTTTGTCTAAATGCATACATCAGATCTGCTATCATAGTAAAAATTACTATTTTTATACTAAATAAGAATAAATCCTCATACCATTCTCGACGTGCATGAATTAATTCGATGGATAAATACGATATTCTCATCATGTTTCTCACTCAAATTCAGTTTTTTATTATATGCCCTCGTTCAAGAACACTACAATCATTACATCACTTTTCTGAGAATCTATTTTCCGGTGACTCGAACAATTTTTCAATGCCTTTACAAAAGTAAAATTAGCATCTAAACTATTTAAAATCCGTCTTAAAACTCATATTAACCTATACAGTAGTATTCTTCTTCTTTCATATATTTGCCAGTCTTTTTTTATTATTTTGTTATTATCATATAAATCTTCTACTTATATTTGTTGTTTATCGTATACATTATTTCTAATATAGCTTTTGTTTTATTTTATTTGTCATTATGTACAATTGTCTGAATGTGTGTTATGTGTTGTAATCACATGTTCTGTTTTTTTTAAATTGAAGCAACATAACTAAGTTTTTTAAACTTTTGTACATCCAAAATATAATTAGTATATGCAGAATGAATAGAAATAGAAATAGAATAGAGAATTAACTACTCAGATGAAACACGTCTTGTAAGACCTTGCAAGATCTGATGTTTTCTTGTGAAATCTTGTAATAAGGTCTTACGATATGATCATACAAGACCTTATTATAAGATAATAAAAGATCTTATGGAATCTTGTAACTTCTTGTTATAAGATCCCCCAAGATCTGGTTATGAGAAGTGACAAGGTCTTGTAAGACCTTATGACAAGAATTCATATGATCTTGTAAGATCTTACAAAATCTTGTACCAGACATTGTTGACTTTTATATATTTTTTTGTCACAAGACTATATAAGATCTTACAAGCTCATATGAATTCTTGTCATAAGATCTTACAAGATCTCATAAAATCGATGACTCATCTCTACCATATAAATTTTGCGACGTAATACAGTATATATATAACATCATCCTCTTTGAAAAGCTTCAAACTCTTTTCTCTTTCGAACTTCACACGTCAGTTGAGCACAGATGAAGTGCAGGGTT